GGCAATCACAACTCACAAGACGTACCCTAACTCATTTTCCAAAGTCTGTATTAAAAAAATAAATCCTGGCTAGGTAGGTGATGTTTCGGACGACGGAGCTAAGCGCGCAGCACGTCCTCTCTCTTCTTGTGATACTGAATATTGGAGCCGGCGCCGCCATTTTCGTGTTCTCCTGAGTTCAGTCAGGCGAGATTTGAGCGCTCTCGAGGTAGTCTCAATCTCCGAGCTTCTTCAGTTTTTCGTAAATTCTAGGGTTTTCAGTCTTTCTATTGTTACTCGCTTTACTAGGATTCAATCTAATATTGTATTAGAAGTAATTAATTTGGAATAAATGGAGCTTCCTGGTTGAATATGAAACTGGGGTTTTAGACTTTGAAGGGTTTTGTTAAGTTCTATTGCAATTTGCTTACTTAATGAAAAGATGAAGTACAATGGGGAGGATTGCAAGGTGTTTGTGGGTTTGATTCTGTGTAGTGTGCGAAATATTGTTGTGCCTAGTGTGATGTGAATGTTCCACTTGTTAGCAATTTTTTATTTTTATTGTAATTGTTTCTCATGCTGGAGACATAAATAGAGCTGCAAACATTTTGGATTTGAGGATTCTCTTGAGCTATATGATTTGAAGGTATAGTTTGTCTGTAATTTTAGAGAGATTCGTGCATGGAAGTTGCTTTAATCAATTCGGTCTGTTTGGCATGTGAGAAACAAATGCTGTTGTTATGCACCCAAATGTATAAAGCGGAGTGTTCTTATTGTAGAATTTGATATGTATGTGTGCATGCTAACCCTAAGGATCTGTTTTGGCATTTTTCAGTGAGGAAAGATGAGTAAGAAAAAGAACCCTCTTGTGTTCTTGGATATATCAATTGGTGGGGATCCTGTGGAAAGAATTGTTATTGAGGTGAGCCAAAATCCAAATGTCATAGTACTTTGTCATTGGCTGTTTTCTTTTTCATTTATGTTTCTTTTCTTTCCTGTTTTCTGGGAAAGAAACTTAAAGCATGTATTGGGATAAAAAATGAGCATGTTTGTTATTTTTTTTCAAATGAGCAGCTTTTTGCTGGTGTTGTTCCAAAGACAGCAGAGAATTTCCGGGCACTATGTACAGGTAGGTTTTACAATTTTGATGTTGACTCTCATAATCAGTCGACTTTCTTCTTGTTTGTTTTGTATTTTACTAATTTTCAACCACTGTTTACCTTGAAATGTAGTGATTGGATACCATCTTCTTGAAAAAAAATCTCTTAACCTACATTATAGAGTATATACACATTGAACAGTGTCATGAATTTATTATCACTTGTAAGGAAAATTATTTTTTTTCCCCTTTTGGGCATGAATTGATTTTTCTTGCCATGCTGAATAATTGGGTGAAAATTCATTGTTTTAACTTGGCACTAGTGTCTTCATTAGACTTTGATTGTTATGGGCTGGTGCCATATGTAGGTGAGAAGGGCACTGGTGAATCTACTGGGAAACCTTTGCACTATAAGGGATCGTTTTTTCATCGAATAATTAAAGGATTCATGGCACAGGTTTGATATTATCCTTCTTTGAACTGTTTTTAATGATAAGCAGTGATTGCTTTGACACTGTTTCATTTCTTTGGACCAGGATTCTTCTTGCGTTTAATGTAATAATTCTCTTCCTTTGATATTGTTTAAATAGCTTAGCCTAGGTGTGTAGATTGCCAATTTCTAGAATAATAAGAGTCTTAAAGGATATTTATCTCTGTCTGTTGCTTGATCCTTTTGCTTGGTAGTTTTCTGGGGAGGTTGGTAGGGGGAGAAAGAATCCTATGTCTTTCGCATAACATGTATCTTAGCAACAGATAAGTTTCTCATACTTCAATCCTTTTAAATTTTGGCTTCCTGCAGGGTGGTGATTTTTCAAAGGGAAACGGTAAGCTCTTATACTCTGAGGCATAGATACATTTTATTCTTCTGATTTTAGTGAATGCAGATTCTCTTCTTGACTTCCTAATTTATGCCCAGAGTTGTAAGGAAAGACTTTAATTGAAATGCAGGCACAGGTGGAGAAAGCATATATGGAGGAAAGTTTCCAGGTAGGTTTTTTTTGTATATTTAGTTCTTGAGTTTATGATTGATTAAATTGAAATCAATCATTGATGTTTACATTCCCTTTGCAGATGAGAATTTTAAACTGGCTCATGATGGACCTGGTCTTCTTTCCATGGCAAACAGTGGTCCAAACACTAATGGATCTCAATTCTTTATAATATTCAAGCATCAACCCCATCTTGATGGGTATAACACCTTTTCATGTTGCTCATTCTTTCTAACTCCATATTCTTTACATATTCATTCTTTACCCTTTTTGGACTTGCTACACACAATTTATGTTAGTTTACTTTTTGACAGGAAGCATGTTGTGTTTGGAAAGGTAGTGCAGGGAATGAACATTCTGAAGAAAATTGAACTAGTAGGAACAAGTGACGGCAAACCTGCTCAACCTGTCAAGATAGTAGACTCGGGTGAGACTTCTGAGAGTAAAATTCAGGATGTTGGGAAAGAGAAAGGTAATGCCAGGACAGTCATTGCACTCATGTAATTATTTCTTTATCCAATTGCTGGTGCTCAGAATACAGCTCATATTATAGTTTCTCTTTCAGGGAAAAAGAAAAAATCAAGAAAGGTTCCTTCTTCTGAGGACAGTTCAGATGGGCAAGCAAGAGGAAAACGGAGAAAGTCCTTGAAGGAAAGAAGAAAGAAGAAAAGGAGAAAATACTCATCATCTGATTCTTATAGCTCTTACTCTGATTCTGATTCCTATTCAGATTCTGGTTCAGATTCTTATTCATATGATTCAAGTTCTTCTAGTGATGGAAGAAGGCGTAGAAAGAGGAGGTCAGCAAAAAGAGATAAGCGCCAGCAGAGGCGGAAAAAGAAGGATGGTGAGAGAGATAAGAGTAGAGGCCGGCATGAAAGACAAGTAAAGCGCAAGTCCAAAGGGTCTGGCTTTGTTACTTTCTGTTCTTTCTTCCATGATTATTCTGCCTTTTTACTTTTTTTTATTGGTTATGAATGTTGTTTTCTTCAGGAGTTCTGAGAGTTCCAGTGAAAGTGAGAGTGATGTAAGCAGCCATGGTAGTAGCAGTACTGATGATGAAAGAGCTGGAAAGCAAAACATTTTGAATCGTAGAATCAGTACCTCTGTTCGTGTGGATAATAGATTACCAGAGAGTCTTGGTACACTTCTCTATTGTTTTTCATTTTATTGTTTGCATGGTATCTGTAGAAGAACGTTATGCTCATGTGAGAAAGTGGATTCTTAATGGAGTATTTCCACTAATGTATTAATGCCATGCTTCAGATTCAACTGACTCCTGATTATAATGTTACAGATATAGAGCATAAGCCCCCAAACACTCTCTCCAAAAAGGAAGACAATTCAGTACCCAAAGGGGGTGATGATAACTCATCTCATGAAGAAGGTGAATTGTCTCCTAAGAATGATGAGCTTCTGAACAATGGTCATGGCAATAATAGAGCAAATCAACATTTTAACTTACATAACTCTGACAGACCCAGGTTTGTGTTATTGCCTTCCAAATCTTGTTTTTGATTGTATTTTTTCCTGTAAATTTTTTCATTTGAAATTCTGGTCTATATTAGACTTGCATGATTTCATTAATAAAATTTGTTTACCTATCTGATTCATAGGGATATGAGTCCAAGACCCAAGGGAAGGCCAAACAGTAGCCATAGAAGTGGCCGAAGCATGAGTCCTACAGGAAGCCGATCGCCAAGTGGCAACCCAAAACGCATTAGAAAAGGACGTGGCTTCACAGAGCGCTACTCCTTTGCACGTCGATATCGCACACCCTCTCCAGAGCATTCACCTCCCAGATCCTACCATTATGGTGGAAGAAATATCCCAGAAAGAAATCATGATAATAGGTAATCTCAGAGTCTTTTTAACTAAATTAATAAATTGCTAGTTTTGTTTTCTATTTTCTGTTTTATTATTTTATTTATTTCTTGTGTAGGTTTTCCAGGTACAGAAGTTACTCTAAGCGCTCACCACACGGGCATTATAGAAGCCCACCAAGAGGCCGCAGCCCCCCCAGGTTATCTGTCATTCTGACACGAATTTACTGTTTATAGATATTTTGTTCTAACGAACTAACAGTTCTGCACCTTGATATGATTGTTTTGTGCCTACTTCTTGTCATATTTGAAGCTAATCAATATATATCAATCTCTTTCCTTTTCTGTGTATGTTTTTTAATTTTTTCATTTTTAGATATGAGCGGAGAAGTAGAAGCACTTCTCGCAGTCCAGGTGGTCATCGTGGTCGCTACAGAGACCGGAGCCAGAGCCGGAGTCCAACCCATAATCCCAGTCTGCAAGATAAACGACCTGTCATAAGTGAGGGATTGAAATCGCGTCTTGGTCCACGGATTGATCAGCACTCACCAAAAAGTGGCAGATCAAGGTCTAGGTCCATTTCCAGGTCAAGGAGTCCCGGATCTTCTCGTTCTAGATCCCCTGATGCATTGCCACCCAATCGTCATGAGAGGAAAGCTTCATCTCCTATGCGGTCAAAATCAGGCTCACCCTCAGGTCCCAGAGGATTAGTATCTTATGGAGACTAAAACTGTTTCCTTTACCATTCAAATTTAATTCTGTTGGTTAAACTATGTCTAGCTACGTTGATTGTTGCTTAGATTGAAACGTCAATTTGCTGGGGCATTTTGTTTGAAACTATAATTTTTGCAACATAACTGAGGTGGAGGCTTGACAAATAGAACTTTGACATGATTTGATATTTGCTTTGGGACAATGAGTCTGAGACTGACAGCCCTGTTGTGCAAATGTGATGAATGCAGCATTGAACATTTAAACTATGATTGTAGGGCATTTCTGACTCAAGTTTTTGTTGTCCATGTAAACTTTTATGTGATCAATGTTATTTATACAATATCTCTTTTAAGGTTGAGATTTTTTAGTCTGAACTGGCAAAGCTTTGTCATGTCTCTTTTGGTCTGCGAAAAAGGTGTGATGTATAAAGGAAACGGAAAGTCTCAAGGCAATGAACTGCTACAAGAACAAAGGGCCACTGTGAACGTCTTTCCAAAACAGGGATATGATGTCTGATAATCTAAATCTAAACCCACGCAAGTAATTTGCATTGAAATTCACATATAGGCAACAATTTCAGAGGCTTAGATTACTGGTGATATACTTGTGACAAATTCATATGGCGGACAAAAATGAAACTGGCATGGCAGTTGCCAGTTCAAACCAGAGCTGAGAAGCTTGTGTTGTTTGGAATGCATAATTGCACATTAAGTTAAAACTTGTCTGACAATAACCAAGAAATGTACAAAGTAATCAAAGGATAGAAACTGCATTGTTGTCTTAGATAGGTTGGCCTTTGGGTACAATTAGATCTTTGATCCACATGTAGATAGGAACCAGTACAAAGTAGGTTGCTGCCATGGCACCTAATATGAAACGCATAAGAAATGTGAATCGATTTACTGGCTTGGTTACGTCCTCTGCCTTTGGACCAAGCTGCATGAGAAATCACCAGTGGTAAAAATATCAAGAAATGATCAAATCAAGGGCAAAAATTGTCTGGACTGTGCATGATAGTTATGGTGATATTTGAATCAGAATATGTTAAACAATAGAAAAAAATCACTGTTTTAGGTTATTTGCAGCAATCCACTCCAAGTAAGATGCAAAATATTTTAATTTCATGCGGTGGCAAAAAGAATCTGATAAACATGATGGAAATGGGCTTAAAAGAATAGGCATATCTACCAATAATAGAATTAACATCCTTTTTGCCGAAAGGCTACTGAACCATGAGAAAGAATATAGTTAACAAAGACAAAATTCTAGAATTCATCATGGAGGAAAAAAAAAAAAAAAAACAGTGTCATGTTTCTATACTCTATGGTTCTTAGGAATGATAAATGTACACCTAGTGTTCCATAGTTCAATTTTTCAACGGTCAAAAACAGAAAGTTTCTTCCAAGTTCAAGTGAAAATTAGCATTGACATTTGACAAACCAACCAACCAACCAACCATGGAAAGGCTTCTGAATGGCATCAATAGTTACAAGGATTCTTTTAAAGTTCGGATCTCAAGTTCTCCTAGAACCATTTATTATATGATAGAGTTCCTAATATGCAAACTGAACAACTGTAGTCAACAGATCAGCTAGGCTAGCTCTTATGACTATCCAACTATGGCTCAAATGGGTTAGAATACTTGTCATTTGGTCTCTTTAAAACCCTATTCGCCAAATACAAACTCTACAATCTTTATAAAACCTTTTATAGAAAACTCGTGTGAGTTTACAATCATAGGAAGAGCATGAACCACGACAACCATCAAAATAGACTTGTAGAAGTTATCACAATGACACGGGCCAAGCAAGAGTGTAAGTTGAATACTGATTCCAAAGATAATCTTTTAAATATGTATTGCAGGTAAGATTTCATTTTGGAAGATCAGACTATGTTTACAAAGCGTCAAATTCAATAAGCAATTCTACAGTTTCTACAGAAACAGACATATATGGTAAGCTGAACCTAAATAGCATAAACGAGAGAAAAAAATCAACAAGGAGAACAGGAAAGTGATTAACTCACAATGTAAGGACAATGAGAAAGGTAAGCAACAGAAAGTTAAAAACCTCCCCTATGAATCGTGCATATCCATTAGACATCAGACTGAGTTTATTCTGAACTGCAGCAAGGCCAAAATTTCAACAGTTTGGGGGCAATTTGGGATTGCAGAATCTTACAAGAAATAAGGGGTCCTAGGCTCATGTTTCAAAGTAAAAGGTAGTCAACCGGTTATATACATGTAGTACTATCTACACTATTCAGCCTAAATCTCTGAATTTTTGGCTTGATAGCTTACAGTTCTGGAGTATGACACTCTAATCTCAAGATCAAGAATGATGAGAGGCATCAGATATGATGCACAAGCATGCACTGCCTTGCACACAAAAAAGGCTCATGAAAACAAGCTTTAAAAGAAGCAAAGGATTAAAATTTAATTACCTGCAAGGGAGAATCCCCAGATGCAGGTTTAACACCTGTCACAGAGCACCCCATGATTAAACCATGGCGACGAACACCACGGTACCATTTTGGGCCAATCCTTTTTAGTTGCACATCCTTAAATCCAGCCTTTTGGAACCACTCAATGTATTCTTCCTCCTTTGGGAAGAGCATCCAAACATCTGCGAAGAAGCGAGACAGCCAAAATGTTGGGTACACAGGACCAATTAAGCAGGCTTTTCCTCCAAGTTTCAATACCCTGTATGCCTCTTTGATGCCTCGTTGTGGATCTGGCCAGTACTCAATGCTGAGAAGATAAAATATTATGACCCCATTAGAAATGCCATCATAATGTCCTCATACTTCCCATCCAAAATCAAAACAAATGATCAATCTAAACTCCTAGCTAGTCCACCATACTACTATTTATAAAATTTGTACTCTGATGCCAAAATTTTCTCTGTACAATCCCTTAAAACAATTTAGGCAGGGAGGATTGTGGTTCAATTTGCACACAAGCACAAAAGCATGCACCTTTAGTTGTACAACTTACCTTGAATCCAATAAACTCTAATTTTCAATTGCATGACCAATTAACAACAACCACCATTATTTAAAGCAAAAGGAGATTAGAGTTCTACACTTAATGCTGAAAATATATAATAGAGATTAGATTTTACCTAGAAACAAAAATTTCTAAGAAGTAACAGCTAAAATGGTTGGAAATGTACCTTCCAGCAGATACATATCTATCTGCATAATCAGTACGAAATGGAAGATCCTCGGCATCACCTTCAATTATCTTGCAATCCTTCAAAGGCTCCTTTTGCTTAGCCTTGGCAAGTTGATGCGGGGATTGATCAAGAATTGTAACATTCTTGGCATCAACATGCTTAACTATACCCAGAGTAGTGAAACCAGTGCCACCACCAACATCTACAACTATCATGTTCCTGTCGCTGAGATCGGCAGGCTCAAGCGCGTCATCCCTCATATCCTCAGTCCAGTGACCAGGGTTTATCACATGGTCATACACGATAGAGAGGAACCTGTAGAACCAAAAAGCCTCCTTCTTGTGTTGAATGAATCTCGGCTGTGACGCTGGCCTTGGAGCTGACAAGCTGCACTTGGGGAGTACGATTGTCCCAGACCTGGATATCCTCGCACTGGAGACCAAACCCATTTTGGAAATGCGTTTTCCATGAAAATCTGACCCCAAGAAACCTAACCCAGTTGGGGTTAAGCCTCTGAACCGAGTGAGGTTGTCAGCTCCGTTGAGCATTGAAGAGGCCATGGATTGAGCAACGGCAAAGCACCCAAAACGAAAACCCACTGGGAAAAACTCTTCCTTGGTTGGGATTTGTTGCTGGGGAGTGATGGGCAAGAACAACTGGGTAGATTTGAGGTGAGAGTTATTTAGCAGAGATGAATTCTAGCCCCGAATATCGAAAGAAGCAAATGAGACCATCACAATCACCAATTGGAGCAAGTTTTGTTCGGACTTTAGAAAAACGAAAATTGAGTTCCCCATTTTCTTGAGTAATTTATCACCACAATTTTAGCCGAACAAAAATTGGCACCACAAGATTGGGGCCTTGTAGCAATGCTTTCGGAAAATTTTTCCCAAAAAAAAAAAAGGGAGGTTCATCCATTACTTTGATAGAAGAGTTAATTTTTAATTTAGGCAATCAAATTTAGTTGTTTAGTGTTTATTTTTATTTTTTAATATTTTTTTAATGTAATTATTTTTATTTTATTTATATAAGAGTGATTAATTAACGATAAATATAAAATTTTATTAATTAATTATTATATTTTTATTTTATTAAATAAAAAACTAATCATACTAAAATTGATAAAAAAAAAGAAGAGTAAATTTGTTTTTTCAGGAGTTCTCTTTTTTCCAATTTACGGTACATTGGTTTGTGAAAAAAGACTGTTAATTAGGAAAGGTTAATATTCAGGTCTACTTTTATTTAAAGGTTAGTTTGACGATGCATAAATTGTACTAAATATTTTTATATTTTAATTAGTTTTTATATATTTTAATTAATTTTTATATGTTTTGAGATAATAAAAGAAATATCTATAACTACAATTTCTGGAAAAAAATAATTTTTTATTGATAAAAAATAAGACATTATAATTTAGTAAAAATATTATAGTTATATCATATAGTATTATAAGTGTATAACTTGATATATTATTATATGATTAATTAATTTATTCAAAAATTTATTAATAATAGAGTATATATTTATTCGGTTAATATTATGTTATATTAATTTAATTTTACTGTCATGATTATAAATTTATAATTTTACTTAATGTTATAATTATATAATTATCAATAATTTAATTTTTAAATTATAAAATTTTTTAATATCAATTATGTTTCAGTTTTTAAAATAAAAATTAATAAAACAAAAGAAAAGGAAAAAAGAAATGGGCCTCAGTATTGTTTGGCAGGCTTGAAGCCCGTTTGTCATTTTTAGCAACGGGCCACATTGCCATCTCTGAAGCGAGCCCAATCAACAATTACCTCATTGTTCTTTGGGCCGATTGGGCTCTCTCTTTCAGTTGTGCCATACTGCCATACCATCATCCAGCCAAGGTTTTTAAAACCAGATTGGACCAATTAGTTGAATTAGTCGGACCTTACCTGGGGGAGTGAAAACGGCTCGGTTTGTATAATAGACCCATTTGTATGTCAAAACCGTTCAAATCTGATGGAACCGATGGAATTGGAAAAATCGCCAACTCAATTCAGCATCAATCTTGTTACCAATTTCACCCTCACCATTCCTTTATTATATTGGTTTTAACACTTAATTTCAACCAAATTGCAAAATCATCAAAAAAACTAAATTAGAAACTCTCTGAAATCTGGAATTGTTTGTGAAAAGTGAAAACCCTCGAGCCTCAACTCCCAAGTCCTAACCCAAGTTCTTTGCCTTTCTACCTTTTCCCACACAGTCGACGCTCCCCTTCCTCTCGACTGTGTCCAATCTTCGACGTTGCTCTCTGTTTTCTACAGATATGCTCTCACTGAAGCTGCTCTCTGCCTTCTGCTGATGTACTCTAGTCGGAGCTGTTCTCTACTTTATGTGATTTGCTCTCACCGATTCACCAAACCGAAGCTTCACTTCGTCTTTTGCTGATTTGCTCTCACCGAAGCTGCTTTACTTTATGTTAATCTACTCTCACGAAAGCTGCTCTCTGTTGTGCTGTTTGCTAATATGCTCTCACTGGAAGTTTGAAGCTACTTTCTGATGATCTACTTTATTTCACTTCATCGTCCCTGATTTCCGTTGGTTTTCTCTCACCAGCATTGGTCTCTGCTCTCATCAACGTCGGTCACTATCCGTAAAAAGCAAACACTAGCCTGTTGTGTGCGTTGCAAAATCATCAAAAAAACTAAATTAGAAACTCTCTAAAATCTGAAATTGTTTGTGAAAAGTGAAAACCCTCAAGCCTTGACTCCCAATTCCTAACCTAAGTTCTCTACCTTTCTACCCTCTCCCACACAGCTGGCGCTCCCCTCCTTTTTTACTATGTCCAATCTCTGACATTGCTCTCTGCTTTCTACAGATTTGCTCTCACCAAAGCTGCTCTTTGCCTTCTGCTGATGTACTCTAGCCGGAGCTGGTCTCTACTTTATGCTGATTTGCTCTCACCGATTCACCAAACTGAAGCTTCTCTTTACCTTCTGCTAATCTGCTCTCTACCTTCTGCTGATTTGCTCTCACGGAAGCTGCTCTACTTTATGCTGATTTGCTCTCATGGAAGCTACTCTCACGGAAGCTGCTCTTTGTTGTGCTGTCTGTTGATATGCTCTCACTGGAAGTCCGAAACTACTTTCTGCTTATCTACTTTCTTTCGCTTCATCGGCCCTGATTTCTGCTGGTTTTCTCTCACCAACGCTGGTCTCTGATTTCATCGACGTCGGTCACCATCCACAAAAAGCAAACCCTAGCCTGTTGCGTGCATCCCTTCCTTGTGCCTCATGTTCTGCAATTGGCCTTCACTGCTTCTTCACACTTCATAGCTTCTCCCACCTAGGCACAGATGTATTTTTGTTTCATCAAATTCTTCATTTGACAATTTTGATGAGAAAAAATTGGACTAAATTTATAACTTTTTAGAATTAGAAACTATTAATTCTTTTCCAATTTTAGAATTAGAAATAGAGTTGCTGGACACTTGCAGGACACTTTGAATTTTTTGTATTAATTAGCCATATATTTTGTGACGTTTCTGGGTCTGGTTCTTATATACTTTGCAATTGCATTTTGTAGAGTTGCCATTTATTAATGATTTATTTAAGCCTTTTTAAGACTTATTGTCTATCTTTTTCTATTTGTTTTTGTATTTGAAACTTGTATTACTTGCTTATTTACTTGGTTTTTCCATCTATATTTTGTTTTGAGAACTAGAATTGAGATTATTTGATGAGTTTTCAAGGTAAAAATGTAATATATTTATGTTAAAAAGTTGTTAAAAATGGTCAAGGTAACAAGAAATAATGTTGAAGTTGAAGTGTTGACATTTAAAATTTAGGAGGCTAGACGCTACCCCTCAAATTTCCCTTTTATGTTTGGGCCAGTCGATTGATCGGTTGAATTAGGAACCGAAACTAAAAATGGTTCATTGATCGATTTGATTTTAAAAACCTTACTTCCAGCTACAGACAACTGTCTATTACCACGATTGACTCATCAATAGCAGGCAACCAGACACTCGCCCTTAATTGTGAGGTTTGTCTTTTGGCCAGGGTGTAGTTGGCCCCGACTGAGCACACTACGTATTAGAATAAAGCCATAGGTTGTTTGTCTTGGCTCGTTGCGACGTGAGGAGAGTTTTTTTTACCAAACTCTCTAATATGCAAAATGAACATTTAGATCAATGACTTGTTGGTTTGAGTAGAAAGAACTCGATTCCCTTTAAATCAAATATCGAATTCGAGTATTGTGAATGGAAAAACAAGCGTTAGGAGAACTTCTCCATATGGTATCCGACCTAGTTTGACTCCGAATTAATTAGGATCCAATGTAATTTCTGGATACTAAGAGTTTGTATAAAAAAATAATAATAATAATGTTGGGTTTTGCATAATTTAAACTAACGTCATGTTAGTTTTTATAAAGAAAAAGTTTTCTCAATGTTTAGAATTAAATTTGAAATTTTATTTAAAAAAAAAAAAACTAAATTCTTTCTATTTAAACTAACAAATTGTTGGTCACATTAGAGAAGTTTACTCAATAACAATCTTCCTTTTATAAGGTTTGTTATTTTGATGTTCATCGTCTCATAGAGAAGGAACAAATACCTTTGCTGTTTAGGGTGCCCAACTTGTGATGTATGACTTCACATTGGACTTACTCGATTCTTTTCCATATAATTTGAAATGTTGCAATATAATGATATTTCTCTAGAAAGAAAATCATATTATTGACATCTAATATTGTTTAAACAAGTTTTATTAAATTTTTATGTTAAGAAAACTCTAGAGTATTGGTAAGTAGAAAAATCCCTCATCAATTGAGAAAGGGTTTATAAACGTCATATGACCTCATACAAATCAAGCCCCTTCATGTATTCTCAAATGGTCTTAACTTTGATTTTTTTTTTTTTTATAACCAAGCATATTTGACATTTTCTCAAGTTTAAGTTAAAAAACAAAAACATATTAGACATTTAATTTATTTGTTTCCACTCAAAAAAAATTTTTAATCCTTTGGAATAAAATGGATAATAAATAGCTTAATTCATCATACGAGTAGGATTCATGAATTTGTTTTTTTTACCACAAATATCTAGATTTTAGATGGGTTTTTTTTTAAAAAAAGGTTTTTTTTAGCTTATTCAGCATTTTTATTAAATAAAGTTGAATTAATATATTTTTTATGAAAGAATTGAATTCTTAAATTATTTTATCTTCGAAGCAAAATTATTTTGCAAAAAATTTTAAAAAATTTATTTATCAATTTTTTCATTTTATAAAATGAAAAACAAAACACTACTAAGTTTTAAAAACAAGAAAATTAATGATTATTTCTTTTTAAAAAAAAAAAAAAGGAAAGAAAACCAAAGTACTATTTTAAAGGAAAAGAAAAACCAGTGTTCCTTTGAACACCTTAGGAATAACAATTTAATTCTCTATATTAAAGATTTAAAATTTAAATATCAAAGTAAATAGAGAGAATATATTTTTTTTGAACAAATTTACAAGGGGTGAAATCAAACCTAGACCCAAAGGGAGAAGGGAATGTACTTTTTTTTGAATGTAATTAATATCACTAGACTTGAAGAGTCAAGTGTAAATAGAGAAAAATTTAAAAAAATGATTAAGTTAATTTTTTATTATATAACTATTATCCTAGGTACCAAAATTAAAAAAAAAAAAAAAAAAAAAAAAAAAAAAAAAAAAAAAACAAAAGTTACAAAACACCACTAAATTAGGTACCTTTATCACTCAAATCACAAAAACACTCAAAGTCACATCAAAACCTCGAAGTAGTTACAACGAATTCTCTGCAGTAATTCTCTCCCTCTGATGGATCTATGTGTGGTTATAGTCCTTCAAAAATTTATTAAGTTAAGTAAATTTATTAAAATTATCTTTAAATAAAAAAGTATAAAATAAAATATTTTAATATTAAAAATATTAAAATATTTAATTATAATTATAATTTAAATGAGATTTATATTATATTTTATTTATCATATGATTTTGATTAAAACGTATTGGTTTTCTTAATACAACTTAGTATCCAACGAGACAAGTCCGGGCAGGTTGAATAAAGGTGACAGTGCCTGGCAGCTGACAGTGCCTGGCAGCTTACAGTGCCTGGCAGCTTACAGTGCTTGGCAGCTTACAGTGACGACGGCCTCCAGAGTGTACCAGGCCTGGTAATCCTTTAAGGCAATGTTGTCAAAAAGAAATGGGCTGTTAACTCGGCCTTTATGGCCCTTTACGCCTTTGCGGCGGTCCTTGTCTGTTGGGTCGGATGGGGCTACCGCATGTCCTTTGGCAACAAAGGCATTCATTTCCTTGGAATGCCGAATATTTCCTTGGATCAGAAGTACCTTTTGTTGCAGGCGTTTCTAGGGTACTTCCCGAACGCTACCATGATCTACTTCCAGTTTCTCTTCGTCGATACATTTTGCTTGCGAGGATGAATTTTCATGCGTGGATGTTGTTTGTGTCGCTCTGGTTATCCTTTTCCTACACAATCGGTGCCTACAACATTTTGTACCTTAATGGATGGCCTTCCAAGAAAGGGATGATTGATTATTCTGGTGGCTTTGTCATCCATCTTTCTGTTAGAGTCACTGGTTTTGCAGCAACTTACTGGGTAACCCCGCCGTAATTCATAACTAAATTTCTAGAAAGGGTGGGGAGGGCCATGGGAAGGGGAAGATCACTTTGTATTGTATAACTTACCACCAGATGTAAAACAAAAATTTTGATCACACTCAAATTTCCACCAAAACCTAGGGGTGGTTCAGGGCAGGGTAGCAATTTTGATGGGAATCATATCTGGAAGTATCCCCTGGTACACAATGATGGTCCTCCACCAAAAAATTTGGCTGCTCAAGCAAGTCGATGACACCATGGCTGTGTTCCACACCCATGCCGTGGCCAGAAGCCTAGGTGACATCGTCACCGGTTTCTTCACCACCCCAAACTCAACCGCATATTCTACCTAGTAGACGATTGGTAGCACAACATAGGCCTAGCCTACGGTCTTCAAACCGACCGCACCACTGTTGGGTTCAAACAAATGGGCGTCCAATTATTGGGAATTCTTTTTATAGTCTGCCTTAACATCATCATGACCAGCGTGATTTGCTTGTTGAGCAAGCTGGTGGTGCCGCTCAGGCTGACAGAGGATGAGTTGCAAACTAGGGATGATGCAATCCATAGAGAAGAAGCGTATGCATTGTGGCGTAATGGGGAAAAGTATGAGTCTGAGATAATCTCTGTTTATGATGAATTTCTGCAGGTATTACCCAACCAAAGTTAGAGACATTCAAATGGCTTAAAGCATGATGATTTCCTTCTGCTTGTTAATTATTGCAAAGTTCTTGTGTTTTTAGGTTTTTTTCTTACTTGTAATTTGAGTTAGTCGGTAAATTAATGTCTTTGTTGCACTCATGAAGCAGCAGCAATAAGAGCAAAACTGTGTTTGTTTTGTGATTAATCTACTTCCTGTAGTACCTAAATTATTTTATGCTGTTATGCATAGTTTTCTTCTCCTTGAGATAAGATTGGTTGTCTCCCTCTTTTAATTTAAAATTTTACCTATCATTTTGAGTTAGACGTTTTTGTTTTTGCACATGCGACATGTGCTATACAATAATAAACAATGGTCTTCTTTTTTTCAAAACTTCTCTCATCTATTTTTAATTTTAAATTTGAAACCTCCAATCATGGTTTTGAAAATCAGATCGGTGATTGAATCGGTTTACTCATTGGTTCTCGGTTTGGCCGATCTGATTTGTTCAATTGACCAGTCATCCAGGTCAATAAAAAACGCCAGAATTTGCAATCTTGGGCTTTCCTGGCAGAATTCTACTACTGTTTTAAGATTTTTTCCTTGCAATATATACCAAATACAAGTCCAAAAACTCAATAAATAGATTAACAAGTGTCATACAATTACAAATCTCAAAATTAATAAATCTCACACATACATATATATGAAAAATAACTCCAAAAACTCAAACTAATATGCAAATGATGCATAAATTAAAATTGTTCATTGTTTATCCCCTAGCTGAGGAGGATCTTTGTTAAACCAAGCATGCATTGTTTCACATTCATTGAAGCAATTAGAGGTTAAAAAAAAAAAAATTCAATTCCTAGTATAATGGAGAAACAGATTTCAAAAGCATTGTCCAACTCCCAATAGTTTCAAGAAATTGCTGAGAAGTTGAAAGCCAGTGACAGTGAGCTTAGCGGCAGCACCTTCGGATGGACGGTGAAGGCCTGTGGTGGTCGGTCAAGGTTGGTGGGTGAACGCCGATCTGCTGCTTGTTGTTGCTGCCTCATGGTTTCTTCTTCGCCAGAAAAAAGATGGAGACTGGAGAGTGGAGAAGCTGAGAAGGAGAATGATGGATGATGAAGATCTATTGCCCGATCTACTGCCTTGTGGTTTCTTCTTCGTCTGAAAAAAGATGTAGACTGAAGAATGGAGACTGGAGAGTGGAGAAGCCGAGAAGGAGAATGATGGATGATGAATATTGGAGAATGGATTTTTCAATTTTGTTTGGTTGTGGTAAGAGTTGAGACTTGAGACTTGAGAGTTGGAAGAGTTGAGGATGGAATGACTGAATGAGTCAATGAAATTAGGAAGCCTCGATTGTGGGGAACAAAAAAAAAAAAGTTGCAAAGCGTGTGTCGGTGCCGTCCAGCCTGGAGCAATTCGCCCAATGGGTTTGCCTTGGTTTGTCGAGCGAGACAAATTGAACGAGTTCTCCGAGTTTGGATAGTTGGCCGTCCAAACAGGCTTGGGTGTCAACCCAACTCGTTTCAAGCTTTGGGCAACGATCGAATTGATCAAACCGACCAATCCGATTCCGATTCGAGTTTCAAAACATTGCCTCCAATAACATTTAATTTCTTAATCATTAGTACATTCTCCAGGGGACTTAAGACTTGAACAATTGTATTACAATTTTGGTGATTTCATTGAATTAAAGTTAGTAACTTCTATCTGTTTCTCTTGACCAACGAGTTAGGAACTTATTGGTTATAGGTGAATTGTATGCTTTAATTCTTTTGCTTGAGTGAGATCGTGTCAAATTTTCCTATTTCTTTTTTGATTAGGAATGCAGTAAATTTCCTAGCCAGTCCTATACTAAGATTTGCTGAAGCGCATAGGATGTTATTGACAAATGTAAAAGGGTAACAAACTAAGTACTCGTTTGGGGGCTGGAGTTTTTACTAAAAAAAAATCTTGTTGGAAAGAAATTATTGTAGAATTGTTATTTTTGTAAAAAAAAAAAAAAAGATAAAATAAAAATGATATATTAATCTTATTAAAACTTAAATAAGAAACTATTGCAAAAACATTAATTTAGTGCTTTTGAAATTTGCAATAAAATAAATAAAATATTAACTTACGACAAATTATAATATTTTTCACAAATTATAATGTTTGATGTAACTAAAACTTAAATTTCTTACAAAGTGTACCAAACATAACCTAAACGACATTGTTATGTAAAAGGATCTTAAAGACCTTCTTCATCGGTTAGAGGATACTGTGAGGTGTCCCTGTTTTTTCCCTTTTTTTTTTTTTTTTTTTTTTTTTTTTGGTGTTGAAAGTGGAAATTTAGATGATTTAACAGAAGTAGAAACAGACAAGGACAAAACATGTGGTTACTGGTTTTGATGTAGGTGATGTATGTATGAATGAATGAAACATCAAACATGCCTTAAAAATGTTGAAAACACAACAAAGACGGCAGCGAAAAGCACTTTTCCAAAGTGGAAGCGGACCTAACTCCAACCAACCCACTTGCTCTTTAGAAAATTCCCTTTTCAATTCCATAAAAGCTTGAATTTACAATAATAATCTATTAACTCAACAAATAAAATTTGTGTACATTATACAATGAATTATATAGTACAACAAGAGATAAGGCTCTAAATATTCTAACTTAAGACCTAAACGTCTAGCATAATTGTTTAACCTCTTACTTATTTTTTGATATTTCCTATTAATATATATATATTTTTTTTTTATTTTGATCGCATAATAAAATATAATTTTTTCTCATTGTTTATTTTATTTCATTCGTATATTGTGTGATTTGAATTTAAAGTCTCAAACATTTTAATAAAAAAATAATCATTAAATTATTTAGATTGTTAACTACTATTAAGATATTTTTGAACCAATTTTTAATATTAATTTGGTATTTAAAAATTGTATTAGATTTTAATTAATTAAAAATTATATTAAATCTTAATTAATTAAAAATCAAGTCACCTCAAACTAAAAATTCTTCTAACACTTAATTTTTTATTAACAAGATTTATATTTAAGATTTTATTTAAAAACAATCAATTTCATTACATTCAAATTAAGATCTAATTTGTTTGATTTATCGAGATTGACTTGGTTTATACTCGAAAGATTGAAAGCAGGTCAAAACCGTCTTTTCGAGTTTACTAATTTTCTAATACTAATTAATTAAACCGTTAGTAAAAAATTATTGTTTGTTTGTTTTCCGAGCAAAGAAGTGAGAAAAAAGAAGAAAACCTTTGGAAGAAAAGTCTTCAAATTCTCCTCCTTTGAAGAAAAAGATCGGACCTGAGAAAAGGTAAGAGAGAAGATAGGATCGGCCTTGGATTAGAATGAGCTAGCGGCGTTGAATTCCGGCAATGGAATCGGAGACAGTGTTGTCGGGCGACGAGCAGCAGGCGGTTGGTCAGGCAGCCGATACTCGAGGCAGGCACCGAATTCTGGCTGAACTGAACCGGGTCGAGCAAGAATCCAACTTCCTCGAGGTCAGCTTTCTGCTTCACGCTTCTCGTTTTTGGTTTCTCTTACTCTGTCGATTTAGCTTCACCAGATTGTTGCTTGAAGTAGGTTTTGCTCAGGAGATTTATCCAAAATGTAGTTGTTAAGTTTCCTTTTTTTGCTTTTGAGGGAATTGGGAATCAGGAAACATGGAGCTTAAAGCCAAACACCTCTTGCTTTTATCGACTACTGTTTCTTTATATCCAGATGGAAGCAGAATCTTTGGATTTGGCATAAAGTTGGAATTTTTATTTCTGATTCTGTGGAAATCCAGAAGTTAGACAGATGCAAAGAAAGTAGAATAGGACCTGCTATTGTCCTAACTTTGGCTAAATTGGAATCGTGAATCTAATAGTAATTCTTATTGGATTTATTAGATCTAACAGAAGTTGATAGCTTTGCCTCTATTGATATTGTTTTCTTCATCAGAAGGTAGTAGCTATACCCTGTTTATAATTTTCCCCCAATGATGAGCTTTTCCGACTCCAAGAATAGTCATATTTGAGACCTGAATAGCGGATGTGCTCAATAATTTTTTGGCCTCTGAAGTGATGCATTACTTTTTGCTGGTTCTTTTAACCAAATGGAAGTGATCTGTATTTGTTATTGCAGGTTTTCCTGTTGTGTTTGTAGTTTAGTTGGTGCGCAAGATGTAGGTGTTGCACAACCATTTTCAGCATAGTTGCTCTTTTGCCTCTTTCTTCTAAAGTTTCCTTTGTTGTAAAAGGATGCTAGAAGCACTTTTGATCCTTTCTCTTTTACCTCTTTTGCTTGAATTGCTCCTTTCTTTTGCTATTTTTGTTCAATGTCATGCTCCACTAATGGAAATGGTCACTTTTCTGCTGGAAAATACTATATAGAAATGTCATTAGTGTGTCTTACCTTTTCTTTTGCTCTTCATGTATTGTGTGCAGGAAGAGATGGAAGAGCTTGAGAGAACAGATAATGTGTCCGCTGTGTGTGAGGAGTAAGTATAAGAAATGATCTTTCATTCTCATTAAAAAAAAAAAAAAAAGGAGATGTAGAGCACTATCATTATGTACATGCACAATCAGTTGAGAGAATTGGAAGTTGTGTTCCTCTAACCCAACTGCACTTGCCACTAGTAGTTGCAACTTGGATTTCTTTACCTGGTTGCTCATTCAGCTGTCAATATGCGCTTTCCTGCATTTCAGTTGCTCATATATTAGCACATCTCATATCAATGCCTATAGCACCGGTTGTATGGTGAGGAGTTTTATCGGAATTAACATCTCTTTTCCTTTTGTGCCCTTCAGGCTGCTGCGTGACATTGAGAGCAGACCCGATCCACTGCTCCCATTGTAGGTTAAAAACCATGAATTCTATAAGTTTTCCATTTTTGATAATAGCTTCTGTAACTCAAACATCCCAATTTAATTTTGACTGCAGAACAAATGGTGCTATGAATCCATCATGGGACAGGTGGTTTGAAAGGCCCCAGGATTTGGAAGGCTGTAGTTGCCAGATTCTCTAATCTGAAGTTGTCTGACATTTGACGTTGATATATTCTACATAACAGAGATGTTGACCTTTTATGGCACAATTGCAATCTTTGCAACAATTGAGTTGACTATTCCACTGTATGCAATACAACAATTTTTTGGATGACTCATTGAATTTGCAATCTACTTCATGTTAGATAATATCTGCAAATCAGTTATATGTTTGCTGCCCCAGGCATATCAACATGTGTTTACAGATACAGACAGGAGGTCCTAAACAAAAAACAAGTTGAAATTCTGCAGAAAGATATTTTTTCAGTCAAGTAATCTCTATGAAACAGATTTCTGGATCTCAACTTCAAGAACTAAAATTCAGTTAAGAATTTACATGTATATGCAATCAAAAATCTTAAAAGGGGCTGCCAGAGTAACCTTTAAGTTGCTCAAATTTGCCTGGTGTAACTAACAAAAACTCCAATTGTGTTATAGGGTGAGCCTCAAAGCAATCAAATTCCAGACAGCATCACAAAACTTGAGTAGATAACAGATGCCTGAGCTGGAATAGGTGTTCCTCATCCGAAATGTGAAGAGAGAGTCGGAGATTTGTTAGGAGGGACTCTTGGTCCCAACTTAAAGGACCTAAAGCATACATTGCCTCCATTGTTGACTTATAAGCTCGAAGCTCTAGTTCATGGATGTCTACCTCCAGTTTCTGTATTGGAGACATAGGCAAAGATCCTTTGCCACCCATAGAAGGAAATAATGACTCAGCATCAGAATTTTCAGGCAAATTTTCCAGTGGTTTATGAGAAATGAGGACGGGATAGTCAGGAATATAATTGGTACTGCAGCTAGCAACAGAGCACTGGTTGCTATCTTCAGCAGACCAAAGAGGCCTACAAGAATCATCTAACCACTGAGGAGTTGCGTTGTTAAGTATGTTGTCAGTTTCAGTTGACTGTGGAATGAATTTTTCTTCAACTCCAATATGCGAGCAAGATGTGTCATCTACCTGCTTAAATAAAGGAATCTTTCTCTTAGAAGGTTCATTGCGTCCTCTGGAACGTTTCCTTTTCTTGCGTCTTCCTCCAGTGACTACATCCCTAGAGTTTTCTTCATAACGAGGGGGATAGCTTTTCCTTACAGTTCTCAAGGGGAGACAAGACCTAGTATGGTCAGTCTGATGCTTAAGGTGCCATTCTCCAATCTTCTCTTTCATATCTAAATCTCTGCACCTAAGTTCTGATGGAGTTCTGGAGGGCAAGCCCTGAGCAAAATCTGAATTATTTGGTCTATAATTCTTGGGAAATTGTTTTTCTTGGATAACCTGCAAGAACATGAGTTAAATGTTAGAAACTAGTGATTCTTCATTTCCTTCCATCAAAAGTTCAAAACTGCTATCAGGCTTCTCAAATCCTGAAGACACAAGGAAATTGGAAGTAAGGACATAATTCTCCAAGCTCTTTTAACCCTTGCCTAGACATGACGGACAATCAATTAACCTTGTAAATTATGAAAACATTTCATAGCAGAAGAATGCTGACAAGTCAAAAATGATTCAATCGAATCAACCAAAAAGAGCTCCTCAATGAGAACATTACAATTTGATGCCAACAACGTGGATTTCTATTTGGCATATCATGCTAGACTCAGGAAAATATTATATGATCATCAGAAACTCCATGAGAATCAATTCCACTGGAGTATAAAGCCTCATATGGTGGACTGGCACATATTCATGGAATTAATTGTAAGGGTGATTTATAATTCTAAATAAAATAGACTGGTCACAGCATAACTGCACCTTGAGACTGAATTCAGATTCACAAAGTAATATTCACATTTGAAGAATATTCTAAATTTGAGCAAGCATTTACACTTCTATGAATGCCATAAGTTCACTCTTACATGAACTTAGCACACTTACATCACACACAAACAGTTCCTGACAATATCTTATGATTCTAATCCTAGTAATTGGATAAATGAGATTCCAACCCCATATGACGAGAAAATGCCTACAACAGAAAATTGAAAAAGAAATGATAATGTAATTTTCATTTCATAACACACAAAAAACAATGAGAATAGAGGATCATTTAAAAAGAAAATGAAGAGTAATAGAAAAAAACTAAACAAAAGAAAAGACAAAAACCAACATTTAAAACATTGAGGTAAATACGAAAATGACAAAAAGTCATTACCTTTCCAATCATCTTCCACTTATTATCACACCAAACCTGCCTAATCCTTAGATTAGAGACATCAAATTCTTTAAGTTGGATGGAACCAAAGAACCTCATGACAACCCCGTTTTTTTTTGGCAACACTTTTGCAACCTTCCCTACCCTCCAACATTGAGCATCAAACACTTCAGCCACATCACCAACCGTCCAGGTCTGCCCTTTCACATTTGAAGGCGGGGGTCTAACATCCCTCTCATGCACCTTCTCCACCACTTTTTTTCCTTCGGGGTTCACGAGTGATTTGAACCTCACAATAAAGTTATCACCATCTGTTGAAATTATGCTGGCAGGAAACCACGAACCACATGGATCATGTTCTCTCCTTAAGACCTCCACTAAATTCCCTTTAGTGAACTTCATTCTTTCAAACTCTATCACGTTTATCCTGGAAATGAAAAAAAAAAAAAAAAAAAGGGGGGAAAACCGAAAGGAAATTAGTAAAGTTGTCAATCTAAAGAAGAAAAACAATGATGTTAACTAATTCCATTCAATAATTCAACAACTGGGATGACCTTGCCATGGCAGATCAAGGTGCAAACGGAAACCACTGATCTGCCTAGTCAGTTTTCAAACTTGTTTTCTTTTCTTTTCTTTTTTTCACAAATTTCAGTTCATATTGTGAGTGAAGAACAGTTTAAATCAGTTATGGAGAACAAAATCATAAAACAGCATCATATCCAAACTATAAACTAAAGAAAGACTCAATCTTTAAATATGTGTCGTTCTTGGTACTAGAAACATGATTGATGATGCATCAAAAACTTCTAACAGACATCAACATTAAACGCGAAATTCAAAAGTACCCAGCATACCAGTTTTTCTTGAGACAGTCTCACAATCACATACTGTACCAAACCCAGATTCAGCAAACAAATTCAATCAGCACAAAGCATCAGAGCCAAAACCCAGAAATGAAATATGAATCTGGAAAGAGAAATCAGTAAAAGATTACACCAAAGAAGCAAAGAAAGACATCCCAGAATTTAAAATCTTCAAAGATCATAAGCCAGCTGAAATAACCAACAAAATTATACTTGCCTTGTACAGAATTTTCCATAGAATCATTTAATTGAAAGGAAAAAAAAAGAATTGGGTGGAAAAAGGAATGTTGGAATGGGACTGACCTGGATGAAAACGAAGAGGACGCAGGTTTGTCGTGGGGGTTACCGCATCAAATGAAGAATGAGATGAGTGTGGCAGCGTTATCTTCATTTTATTAATTAATTAAAATTTTCAATTCTCCCATGGATTGGCTCTGTTTTATATTAAATTAAATTCGTTTTGGTATAAATAATCATACTCTTACAATTGTAAAGCTCGCCGACGCCGGACCTGATCTCCCATTTTAAATTATACTAAAATAAAAACTGATAAATGGGGGACTTAGAATTTTGTCTTTATATTCTGCTCTCATTTTTTATTTTAAATGGTTTGAAGTTAGAACATCTAACTAATCTCCTTAAAGCAATTTTAACAATGTATATATGGGTTAAGGGAAATTGAGAAAAGGAGAGATGAAAAATTATTTTATTTAATTATTGAAAGAATTGAAAGATAAGGGAAGAGAATTTTTTTTTTTCATTTTTTTAAATGTATTTACTTATTCAAATGAGATGAATGAAAGAGAAAAAGGGGTTTTTAATTTATTTATTTATCTAAATGAAAAGGAGGGAAAGGAAAGGAAATGGAGGGATAAAACTCCCTTCCTACCCTTGGCTTCCTTCCTTTTCTCTCTCTTTTATTTTTCTCTACCTAAACAAACAATAAAGTGAAATTTGCATATTAACTCTTAATTTATTTTACTTTGATGTACCAAAAAAGAAAAACTCTTATTCTAAAAACTAACATTTATTCTTATAAGTGCCTCCCATCTCCCTTCTCTCACATTCTCCTTTTCTTTTTTCTCTTATTGCAGTCTCTCTTCTCCATAACGATTAGGGAAAATGAATAAAAGTGAGATCATGATTATTATTTTTTTAAGGTTTCTTTCTCAAAAAGAGTCTTTTTCTTTTTCTTAGGAGTCTTTGTCTAGATTTTCTTATTATTTTTATTGAGTTTTACCATGATAGAGAACAAGACAATAGTTGAATAACTAATTTTTCTACTAATTTTTATTGAGTTTTACTAAGGTATTATCTTTTTAAACAACTAAAAAACTTAAAAAATAACTAACTTTAGCTTTTTTTTTTAGGTTTAAATCCTTAAAAACTCAAGCTTTTAAAATCCAATAATTACATTAATAATATGTTTAGATTGAAGAAAATGAAAAGAAGGAAAAAAAATTTTGACCAATCAAATTATAACATTTTAACAATGTTTTAATTTGATAGGTCAAAATTTTTTTTCCACCCTTCCCCTCAGCTCCCCTCCTCCCTCCTTCCTTCCCTTCTACTTCATTTCCTTCAACCCAAACATACAATAAGTTCAGTGTTTCCATCTTCTTTCCAGCATGTCTCTTGTTCTTGATTTCAACCAGTATTATCAATCTCTTACCAGCAAATTTAATTCCTTTCGTTTAGTTTCTTACCTTTATAAATTTCAAATTTTAAAAGAGCAAAATGTAAAACCTAATAAAAGATAATAATGTTTTATGGTTTCATTTCTCAATGTTCAATGAATATGCTATTACATATTACTTTCTTAAAATATTGACAAATTGACATAATATACTACTTTTATGATCAATGGCATAGTTAATGGTTATAATGTCTTGTGCTAACAATACGAAGTTATGCAAACCCAAGAGTTGAATTTTTGGTTAAGTATTAAGTTTAAGATTTAAATTTTAAAATTAATATTTAAAAAATTAATCTATTTAATTATATTAAGTTAACATAGAAGTGTGTCATTAAGATCCTTTAATAAGAAGTACATTACACTAGTTGTCAAGGGAATTAAAAGAAAAAATAAAATAAAAATGAGAAATATAACTCTTAGAGTCTATGGATGGGTCATCCTCCATTATCCCATGAGTGACCTCACCTTATCTTGTTATCTCAAAACACCTTTCATTTCAAGGGGTTCTCTTGTCTTTATGATGGTTTAGAAGTCAATTCTCATCATTTCAATTTCTCAACATTTTCCTTTCATTCACTTATCTCTTCTGAAATTCTTACCACTCCTAAATAAAAAGTATAAAACATGATCTCAGCTAAAATGATTAAACAATACACTCAAGGCTGTCTAGACTCTGAAATAGTTGTCACTTTGGTCTTTTATATGAAATTTACGTAATTTTTTTATATATATCTTAAATTGAAATTTGAAATTTTATTTTTTTATGCATAATTTTTCTTGAATAATTTCATTTAATAAATAATTATATAATTTTATAAGAGAATTATTTAAATTTATGTATTAATAATTAAAACGACAACTATTTCAAACCGTTTTGTGTATTTAGACTTGATCTAATAAATATTTCTAATTTTTTATATATCTTTTTAGAGTCAATTTCAAAGGTTTTTTTTTCTCAAATAAATACTTAATGATTTGTTACTTTGTTAATAAAGAGTGTGTTATG